TTCCCCAAATGTATAGGCCACGTGACGCCCCTTTCCCCGCTAAATTTAGCGGAAAATGCACAAACGGTCGGGCAATTCTTTTTTTTTTTTTTTTTTGGATTTGGGGGGTAGCGTTTTAAAAAAACATTTCATGTTTAAAAAAAATATTGGCGCGGGTAAATGTCTCGTCAGTGTCCCAATGGACCTCCCAGGATATAACGACACAGCGTCGGCATAAACCGCGTCTCCGCGAACGGCCGAGACACAACTTCCGCTTTAGCAAACGTCCATAACAGGCGCCATATTTGACCAACGATCTCACCAAACAAAATCTCATCGCAAGCTCTATTTCGGTCCCCGCGCGTCGATCACTATAGGCGAGCGAACGTCGGCATATCCTCCCAGACGTATCATCATCGCTTCACCAAACAGGACGCGTGTTCGTCCCCAACAACAGAAAAAAAAAGGGAGAGAGAAAAAAGAAGACAACATTCGAGCCACGTACTTTGTATCCTATTTCCAGACGAGGAACGAAGTCTCATATTATACCGCAAAAAAAATAAATAAATAAAAAGAATTCCCGCTTCCACTTGCGAATGCCGACGGCGTGTACGCCCTTTCCTCGCGTGCCCGCTCAAAACAGCGCGTGCGGGGCTCGGGAAGACGATCGTGAAGCGTTTCGGATGTCCAACAGGAAAACAAAACGTTCGTTCCTAAAACAACCGTTGGGTACCAGACACAAAAACAAAAGAAAGCTTCGCGTTCGTGTTTTGAGAGCGTAAAGCTGACGTCACGCAGCTGCGGTGGCGCTGTCGACGGCACTGCGCATGCGCAGACGCTTCACTTCATGCGAATTTGGTTTCTGCGCATGCGCAGTGCCAACACCTGGTGTGGGCAAACGTGGGCTTGTTTGTAAACAGCGTGTCGGTGGTTGTGGTGACGTCAGAGAGAGCTCTGATTGGTTCTGATGGAAGGATAGTGGGTAGACCTCTAGGCAGCTTGCTTTGAGGTCTACTCACTATCCTTCACTCCCAGCCAATCAGAGCTTGGCGTTTTTTGTGACGTCACCGCAGCTCCTGCTCCAGAAGCAGACGACTTGCTCTCCGCTATGTTCACGAAGGATGTTTTGCTTCGTACATATGCACGCTTCGAACTCATTGACTGCAGACTGCCTCTTGTATGATGTTGGGTGGATGGATGGACCCTTTGTAACGGGCGGTAGCTTGCGCCACCTAGCCCAAGTCTAAAAAGACAAACACGTACTAGCGCTGTGACCAATGTTGTCTGCTTTTGAGGTATGGCGACAATGTGGGCTTACGCTTTAGCCGGTGCACAGGACATCTTCTATAGCCTGGGGTCCTTCAATGCGCGCATCACGCTGTGTTAATACACGAAAACACTGCCTACCCCTTGTGAAATTCGAAAGGTCTTTATTTTTTTTTTTTTTTTCATTGAGGTTTAAACTTTTTAGGTATAACGAAGACGTCAATATTAACGTTAAACGGGGACCATATTAACGAGACGCGATTGTATCAGACCCGAGAAACGTGCTCATAATATATATTTTTTTAACAGCTTGTTGCGGTTAGTGTTGTTTCATCTCCCTTTTATCAGGGTAAAGCACCGGTGATTTTCGTCGTCTCAAAAGAGGAAAATGCTGAAATACGCGGATAAATGAACCACATACACGATCAAATAGCAATAAATATTATGAGAAATTCCCAACGGTGAATTTAAAGCGGTTTTGGACACTCTTTTACTGGTATCTTCTTGGGCGTGCAAGCGCGCGTTAGCGTCTACTTTTTTTAAAGTCACGAACATGGAGCGCTTATGGGTCGCTGAAACTCCGCCGAAGGAATTCCACATTCAAAATCTGTCGATTGGCAAAGACTTCGGCGGCTCAGGGATTTCTATCCTTGATTCCCATTTAAGCGCGCGATTCGTTTAACTGCATATTTCGACCGTATCGGAATAAATATACTGTTCCTTTTCCTTTGAACTTTACCTTTTCAACCGTGCAAACTAATATCGGAGTGGCTATTCGATCATTACTAACAGCATCATTACTAAAAACAGCATAATATTGAAAAAATGTCACGTGACTGTTTTCTGAAAAATCGCCTTTTCTGGGTGTCATTTGTTGCAATACTTTTTTTTTTCGGGGGGGGGGGGGGGGGGGGGGGGGGGGGGGGGGAGCGAAGCTGTACAGATCCTTGTGTGCCCTTAGGCATACCTTGATCGGCGCAAGGCGTGTGCTTCTGTTTTGTACCAGGATTTGGTGCAAACCACTTCTGCCATGGCCCCCAGTAACCCGACCCAAATTACCAAATAAATATTTACAATTCATAAGACAAAACAAATATATTAATCCCCATGTTGCCGATAGTCACTAGTCAGCGCAATCCGTCATTAGCATACTATTGATCCTCTTTGTATTCTACCAGTAAACATTCTGTAAGTAGCGCTAGCCTAATGATTGATTGTGGTGTAACAATTACATGCATTTGTGATCACTCTGTACTAAACTACATGCTATGACTATAGTCAATGACAGGTCAAGAACGAAGTGGAAGCTTCTCCCATCCTTTTCCACTTCGGCGGAGCGAACAGTGGGGAGGAGGTTGCCCCCTTTCCAGCGTTCACTCTACTAAAGTGGAAAGAGGTGGGAGGAGCATCCACTTCGTTCTTGACCTGTCACTGACTATAGGTCCCATAACTAGCTTTTCGAACTATGAGAATTATGTCTGTGATAAAAATTTCCATCAATAAAATACTTCTTCAAGCGGCAGTTAGCACCATTAAATCACCAGAAGTGGTGGTACAAATAAGTGCATTATTGTATTTACAATTCTCTTTGAGCCCCAACCACCTCTTCCCAAACTGGCTGTGACCCCACTCTTTTTGAAAATAAAATTTATTCATTCATTTACAGTGCACTTTCACATGACCTATCCAAGTTTTTTACGACAATTTTTTCAAAGGAAATAAACTATATTCACTTATTAATTCAGTTAAAATATTTTACATGCAAATTCTGCGTTGAATATCCAGAGGAAAAACCTTCTAGATAGCAAATTCTAGACAATATTTGTGTTATACATGACCGTCTAACAGGTATAGGTGCATAAACACAAACGTTAACTTAATTCTTGCATAGAATGTCATGTACTTGTACCCTACGATTTCCATTACAATTTATCAGTGTGTACGCCATGTCTTATTACGATTAACATTACCCTGGAAGCGTAAAAGGATGGGAATGATATCACCCTAAGAATTGAATATTTTGTGAGGTCCGCGACAGTAAATGAATATATTAACAAGGTACGATTTAACATTACTTCATCAATAGTGCAACGTTAGTGAGTTATTTTCATGTAAACATTTTGGCATTCTAAGTCATTATGTGTGGGTTTCAGTTATTTATGGCAACATATTCTTTTTCTTCAGATATTTCAAATAAAACATCCGACATTCGGACATTTAGAAAATCTTATTGGAGTGAATCCAGCTAGGGCTTTCGACAACTAAAATATTTGAAGCATTTGAGTAAAATATCCCTCCGACTTAAATTAAGTGGCAGAAATTTACGATTAACACCACCCTGCAAGCGTAAAATGATGAGAAAGATATCTCTCTGAACATTAAATAATTATGAGGTCCGCGACGAGAAATGAAGAAATCAACAAGATGCGATCTAACATTACTTGGTCAATATTGCAACGTAAGGTTATTTATTGTCGTGCCAACAATCTGGCTTTCTAAGTCATTGCGTGTGGGTTTCAGTTATTTATGGCAACTCATTTTTTTTCCTCTTAGATATTTCAACTAAAACATCCGATTTTAGGGCCTTGAGAAAACCTTATCGGAATGCGTTAAATATTTCTGCTCGATGATTTGGAAGCTTGAATTCAGGGATTTCGAGATCTAAAATATTTGAAGCATTCGTATAATAAATTATATAGCGACAGAAAAGAAACTAAGTTTCCGCAATTCATATAAATTGAATTCATCCGCGTATAGATCGGAATGTGTAGACGATCATGGGTTGTCAATTTATTAAAGAAACGCATTCGAATGTTTTGTCTGTTTAATAATATACGCTAATAACTTCTTTATATTTACACATTATCAAAGGAAAACCTAGGCAACGATAAAACGCTTGAGGCCATGAGCAACAATTAATTAGTTAATATTAGGAGATTCTGACCCTTTGGGCTTGTCGCGAAGTAGTTTTAGAAAAAAAATCTAAATATCTAACTAGAGCAGTTTTAGTATTCACACCATATTTGCATTAGCTAGAACGAAAACTGTGTACCCCCGATTGTAAAATGAATAACATGGTTTTTTATTTATTTTTTAATGTGTGGCAGGGAGATAGTTTGTGGTGACTCTCTTCACATTGTACTGCATGTTTTAAAAGTAAGGAATAAAAGTATTTTACAACGAAAACATTCATTTTTAGGTCTATTCATGGCAACCTCACTTTTTTAAGGACCTCCAAAATCTCAGAATACAGTTGAATGTTTCTAATGTCAGGTCTATTGCATATAGCAAATCTATGATTTGCGATTTCGGTAATTAAGAAAATCCCTTCCTACGAGCATATCCTATAATACCGCCCGAAACCAAGCATATTCTTTCGAAAAGAAACTAAATTTTCAAAAAACTAACACCTGCCACTCATCAATGGCGACTATCAATATATCAGGCACATCGCAACGAAAACATCGCGTAGTTTATAGAAGAATGTGGAAGCTTCCAAACTCCAAAATCTTCAACAGAACCCGATTTATTCAAATAACACGTTTCCTCGCTTACTTCGTGCCAAGAAAATCTCCATATGAGCACGTGCCAACGCGGACGAGGAGCTGTGTTCTTGCATCTAATTCGAGAACCCCCCGACCCTGTTCCGAATCACTTATGCTCTACATACCGGTAAGTTTATAGAGCACATAACCAACACTCCGAGTTACATCAAACGCGAGAAGAGTCACCAGAACTAGCAAGAAACGACTCACCGAACCGTCAGCGACGTGTGCTATCCAAGCCGGCACCCTATCCAAGCAAATGCAGACGACACACTGCTCCCGGGTTTCGTCTGCTCGCTCGCGTCGAAGCTCACGTGACCTGGCGGAAGCGGTGGCGCTGCGGTCGCTCGCTTTCTTTTTTTTGTTTACGTCATTTTCTTTCATGCGTCGATGGAACGACTGACCTGCCTCTCTTCTCATATTTGCTGCACCTTTTTCTCTTATCGTGACGTAGTCTCACGAGCCTCTCTACGAAGGGTCGTGATTTGATACACGACGTTTACGTCACCGCTTTTCGCGTAGTTACGACGGAGGTTTTGGTTGTTCGACGTTTTGTGTGTTTGCGCGCGCCATGCGCTTTTGTGGACTGTCAACACGTTCGAAGCCGGTTTTCGTGGGGTGAACGGCGTGTTCGTTGTTTATAGCCGGCTTGTTTTGTGTTACGGTCCACCGAGGAAAGCCGAGCAGCGAGGCCTATAAACAGCAAAAAAATATATATTAGCAAGAAAGAAAAGCGACCAAATGTTGCTGTTTTTTGGTTTGTTTTTTGGCGGTGTGTCCGCTCCGATGTACGGACAACGGTAGCAAATTACATCAACTCTTTTCTTTTGATACATAAAAAAAAAATTTAATGGGATTTGATTGCACGTCCACTAATTCTAGTATTTACAACGAATGTTTAGTTACATCGTGACTTTTTGCTTAAGATTATTCCTACCAGATAATAGACCTCCTTAACGTTGATAAGTGAGCGGAGAAGTGACCTTTAGTCCTAACGCTCTTCATGAGTTCGGGCTACGCTGTAGACTGTTCATAGGACATTTTTGAACTCCGATACCACACGCTGAAATCCTCATCCACGATCGAATCACGCAGAAAGCTGCTCTTTAATTTTCAGTACCAACTTGATTAGCATGGTCTGTCCAAGCGTTGGACATCAAACTCGACGAAAGTATTTAAGGCAAGTAACCAAATACCTGCTTTATAAAATAATTAGAGGACTATGCTTAAGTTACTTTCCTGAAATATATCTTGAGTAGAGTACACATACTTAGAAATGTAATTCAAATACATTCGAAGATGCTTCCTCATTGCGTGATTTGTATCGACTTCAGTGACCCCAGAATGGTTTATTTGCAGTCATCAGAAGCAAACAAAACAAAATCGTAGTGCTACTCTACGGTGTCCCAGTGCAACAGCATATTGGAAGATATTTTTTAGACGCCGAAGATCATATCTTGCGGTGGTCTTGGAATGCGCACCTTGAACGCATCGCCTTACTTAACGCCATAATCAAATTGTCCGGAGTTCACATGACACGAATTTCGAATGCGCAAAAAGACGGCACTTTCCGCGCCAATTCCTCGGGCCCAAAACTCTGCATTAAAACTGACTACACTCAAAAAAAAAAAAAAAAAAAAAGCACAAAAGAACTTGTAGGAGCACCGCTGTCTTTCTCGGTTTTTATTTATTTATTTTTCCTTATTGACACTAAACTTTAAAAGCGCTTTCAGAATAGCTGATAACTGTAGGAAGACTCTATGTTTGCATTTTGAGAGCTCATGCTGCTCGTAGCTTGTTCTGCGACCTCTGTTTCTTTTTTTTTTCTTTTTTTTTAATGAAAGTGTCGGATTTTTTACGTTCCCCACAGATAGTGTTTCTGAGTATGCCAGATTGGTGACAGAAACTAAATTCTGCAAGAGTGGAGTCAAACATACAAATAAAATCACAAAAAACAGTAGTAGCAATAAAACACCTCTCGTGTTTTCTATTGTTCTTTTCTCTCTATTTCCTTCTGTTTTCTCGCCTATTGGCATTTTAAGTCTACATAATTGGCCCTGAACGTATTTTTGCTTGAGTGTCCGTCTCAAGTTCACAATCGGTTCAACTTTGCGCTGAGGTGTACCGATTCCAATTTCGGTAAAAAAAAATCCTGCAGCACGCTTTTTTTTTCTTTCGAAGATTGGAAATAGTTTTTAAGATAATGAGTGCAAAATACTGGGAAATTTATTAAAAATAAAGTAGCAAATACTCTCGATCAAACGCATTGGTAAGATACCAAAATGCCACCAAAATTAATTTAAATGCAGTATCTTGAGTGGAGTATCTGGGATTGGCACAAGTCTGGCAGTATGTCCTGAACTCACTTTTCTTTGCCGGCCGTTGGTTGATCGAGAGCATATTATTCGGACGAACGGAACACGGAAAAAATTGTTAACTGCTTTAGATGAGTTTGCTGTACCCACTGCACTCAATAACTTCATTAGTATTGTTTGACCAGTCTCAAACAAGTTGTCTGCAAGTATCTCGTCTACCAGGAAACTAAAGGACTTATCAAAAACGTTTCTTTTTTTCCAATGCCTATTAAACTAGCCTATTAAGGGCTAGTTTCCCGAGGATCGTGTTTCCCGCAAAGAAATGTCGACACCATAGAGTTATTATAATGTACGCTAGAGGTTCAACTGGCGCTAGTGTCTATGCGACTTCCGGGAGGCAAATTGAAGCAGACAGCAACCAGTCTACTTTTGCGGTGCTCCTGTGCATTCCTATGGGAAAACGCACGTGAATTTTGTCTATTCGCCGTAAAATAACACGAATAACTTTTGTTATTTCGGTTGTACAGGATAGTATGTACCTTTATTGATATTGTGAAAGTGTAATTGATTGAGTTACAACATTTTTCTTTACCACTGAACGACGTTAAACTTCGCTCTATTTCAGGATCAAACCTCTGTTCAACAGCCGGTGTGTAAAAACAAGTGACGATTCTAAGCAAAATAACAATCGAAAGGAATGTAGAGTGCGTTTAAGGTTCAATAGCATTCCGGTGGCGCTTATATATTGCTAATATGTCCGTTCTGTCACTATATGAAGACTCCGTCGTGCATCTTTACAGTCTGCTAAAGAAATAAAGTATGTGGGCTACGAGAGGTGTGTCTTTTTAGTATTTCCTATGTCGGGCAGTTTTAATCGGGCACCTGTTCTCTGGCTTCTCCCCATTCGCAAAGATCTGGAGCCTGCGGGTGATTATTTGAACCCAGAACATGCATCTTTGCACATATTCATGAGCAGAAAGAAGAAAGCAGTACTTATTTACTACAAATCTGACCATAGTACGTGACTTTCAATTTATTTGATCGTCTGCATGCACAAAGAGTTACTTATCCAGTGTTACTGTGTAGTTCTTGCCGTCTCTCTTTGTTTTCCACATGTCCTTCGTTCGTTTGGCACGTATGTCCCTCATGTTGAAAAGTGCCGACGCCGTGTTCGCGCTAACAGTGTCCGACAGTGCACATAAATACACGTACGAAGCGGTTTTAGCATCGTTTTTCGTGCCACGAATTTCAAATTAAAACGCTGTAACTGACCAATTATTTCGTCTGCGTGACTGAGAAAAGTTCCAAGCTACCTAGTACGTACGAATTATTCGTGATATTTGCTCTTATAATCGAGCGCAGAGAGAAAATGCACTCGCTTTTTCCCATAGCAATGCATTACCGGAAGTCAATTTCGGACTGGTTGCTGTCTGCTTCAATTTGCAGCAGCACACTAGCGCCAGTTGAACCTCTAGCGTACATTATAATAACTCTATGGTCGACACAAAACTTTGGACAGCTACTGCCATCTATGAGTGACGGCGGCAACCAGACAACCGGCTTGTCGGCCTCGCTCATAGATGGCGGCAACCTTTCCAGCCTTTCCACTCTGGTTTTCACCAGAATGGAAAGGCTGAATTTTTCTAGGCGTCGTCCTAGAGGTCGTCCTAGAAGTCGTCCTCCAGGTCGTCCTAGACGTCGTCTTCAAGGCGTCGTCCTCGAGGTCGTCCAAGAAGTCGTGCTTAAGGTCCTCCCATCATAGTACAGCTTCGCTGGTCCTCCATCTTAACCAGAGTGGAAAGGCTAAAAGTTTTTTATTTATTTTATTCCGTTCACCTTGTTATCATTGTAAAAGTAGTGTGTTCACGATCAGTGCCAGCAACAAGAACAACTTCTTTATTTTTGAGCGCGAGCTCCGTTTGTCCCTTCGTGTGCACGGAGTGTTGCTCCCGCTAGCCATATGGTACAATCTTGACGTTTAGCCAGTTTCCGGAGTTTGACACTGCGTACTGTCGTTTACATATCAGAACCAACACGCAAGACGAAGCGGATTTTGCAGTAAGAACATGTCTGTTTTTTCTGTTGTTATTCGCTGTCATCTGCCTTTTAAAACGTGCCTCCACTTATTGTCTTCACGTGCTTTTTTTTTTGTTTTTTTTTTGTTCGCGATTCGCTCTTCGGAGTTTTCATCGGCTAATACTAAAATCTCATTGGCTGCGGAGCAACGGAACGTTTGTAACCAAGGCCAGATCAGCGTCACCTTGATAACGTCTCGAAACGCGTGTGGTTCAGCACACCTTGCACGACGTCACGGCAACGCGGGGTTCTGATTGGACGAGAGAAGGATGACGCCACTCTCGCGTCCAATCGAAATTCCGCAGTCCTGCGAAGTGTACCGGCGTTCCGTTTCGTGGTGGGCGCTTCTAGCACGCAATGAATGACGTCACGGCAACGCGGAGCTCTGATTGGACGAGCGAAGGATGACGCGGCTCCCGCGTCCAATCGAAACTCCGCAGTCGTGCGAAGTGCACTGGCGTTCCGTTTCGTGGTAAATCTTTAAACGAAAGAGAAAAAAAAAAAAACAGTCGTTTGGCGCTATCAGGATGGCGGTATGGGTAAGGTAGATTCAACCAGGAAATGTATCGACTTTCAGACTTTCGTCACGCAAACCACTTCAAACAATAAAAAATAAAGAAAAAAAACAAGCTGGATATGTCCCAATACTGCACGCATCGCACATACCGTGTCTTGTACGTGTTCGTTTTTTTAAACATATATATATATTTATTTTTAATTCGGAAAGGATGTAGAAGACTGCTTCGGCTTGCTTCGGCCCTTAGGCGTACGACGAGCTCCGTTCCTGGACCTTCTTTGGCACACAATCGGTGCTTCGTGTCCTCCTTCATTTCTACCTGTGTTTTTTTCTTTTTCCCTGCCTCGATATCGTTTCCTTCTTGGCTGCCCGGC